CATGATATCAATAGAGAAAGTTTTTAATACGTTACTTAGTTCAATGATATTGTCATTAAAACCCATGGATCACAAATTTAACGGGCATCTAATGGAGTCATCTCCATTTAACAATACAATATAAAAGAGCATGCATAGATTACATATTATTTTGAAGATCTTTGAACATTTGTATCAATTGGACAGAAAATTAAAGTGGCGGAAAAGTAAAAAAAAAAAAACTGAACTTCGATAATGATGTTCCTGTGGTTACGTTTTACTATCTAGCCAATAAGGAATCCCTTCGCCCCTCTAATAAACTCAAAAACACGTTTTTAAAGATATTTTCATTTTGCTCCTGAATAAGAAGACAACTACTCGAAGTTAATAGTTCTATATTTATTCGGTTATTTTGGAGCCAGATAAGGTTTTCTCAAAGCTTTTTACTTCGTTTTTCTGAGTATACCATACATTTCAAAAAGATATGATGAGAATCGTCACGATACACACCACAGCGGCAAGATGGATCAGAAATAATATTAACTCTATAAGGAGGAATCAGGACATCGAAGTTTGGTAAGAATAATATTGAGTTTGCGACTTCCAAACTCATATTGTTTTGTCATGTATGCATTATTATTGGAGTCTAAGTTTTTTAATTTCATTTTAAATTTTCCTATTGTATCTGCTTCACGGATTGAAACAATAACAGGAATTCCATCGGAACACGCAGTTAAGAATGTTAGACACAGATAATCTAGGAATTCCAGCGGAACACGCAGTTAAGAATGTTAGACACAGATAATCTAGGAATTCCAGCGGAACACGCAGTTAAGAATGTTAGACACAGATAATCTAGGAATTTCAACGGAACACGCAGTTAAGAATGTTAGACACAGATAATCTAGGAATTCCAGCGGAACACGCAGTTATGAATGTTAGACACAGATAATCTAGCAATTCCAGTGGAACACGCAGTTAAGAATGTTAGACACAGATAATCTAGGAATTCCAGCGGAACACGCAGTTAAGAATGTTAGACACAGATAATCTAGGAATTCCAACGGAACACGCAGTTAAGAATGTTAGACACAGATAATCTAGGAATTCCAGCGGAACACGCAGTTATGAATGTTAGACACAGATAATCTAGGAATTCCAACGGAACACGCAGTTAAGAATGTTAGACACAGATAATCTAGGAATTCCAGCGGAACACGCAGTTATGAATGTTAGACACAGATAATCTAGGAATTCCAACGGAACACGCAGTTAAGAATGTTAGACACAGATAATCTAGGAATTCCAGTGGAACACGCAGTTAAGAATGTTAGACACAGATAATCTAGGAATTCCAACGGAACACGCAGTTAAGAATGTTAGACACAGATAATCTAGGAATTCCAGCGGAACACGCAGTTAAGAATGTTAGACTCCGATAGTCTACTCATGTTGTATGCACATTCCTGAATTAATGTGCCAATTGGTATATATTATGTATCAAGCAACATTAATTTGTACAATATATTCTACTTTTACTTTTACTTTTATTCTTTATTTTTTGAATAGTTTTGGCTTGATATTTATATCAATATGAATATCACTGTCATATGTCTTTTTGTGATTAGATTTTACTATGCAGTGCACATGTATGTAACATTTACGTTCTCAGAATGGCAATCATTAAAACTGAAAGTCTAATTCAAATTGATTCAATGAAAAACTTTCATAGCTGGTCTATCAACAGCTGTCTTTTTATTCCAATAATTGTTTTTTTTTTTAGTTCTGCTGTACAGCTGTGATACACTATTATTTCCTTCGTTTAAAAATGTATTCCTATAAACCGTGATATATTGAAACACTCCCATTTGCTCTTTTCTATTCGAATACTCTTTCGATCTGTCCCCTCATATGCAAACCTACTGTCGAGTCCCATTGCATATGATCACATTTTACCCAGTGTAAACACAGGCACTTGACTCTGAAAAAAATATTCAAGTATATAGTTTTTTTTCAGAGACAAGTGCCTGTGAGTGTAAACGGGATGAATCTCACAAGGCCTAACAGACACTTAATTTATTCATTGTGTTTTAGGTATCATAACCAAAATATTTTCTCTGATATTCTGAAGTATTAATGTTTTTGTTTTTTATATCTTGCATTAAATTCAAATTTTAAAAGATTCGATCAAATTTTTTTAACTTTTAAAATTTCAGTTTGGCCTTAGGAGTCAAGACATGATGAAATACCAAATGACTGACTACTTATACAAATTACCACATTTCAAACAGAGTAAATGGGATGAAACTCACAAGGCCAAACACACTTCATCTATTCACTGCATTTTCAGTATCATTTATCATTTTTGGCTAGGTTTGGACAAAATCCAAAACCGGCCTCACTGTGACTTTGAGATGAAGAACAGCAATAAAAGCGCTGTTCCTTTGCTTTTTGTGTGTTTTTGGCTGTGCATGTACAGATTTTGTGCTATGGATGGATACCCCATATCCTTTGTTTTTTTTATTATAAATTTAAAAACGCTTACCGTTACCTTGGTGATATTTTTGCTTTAAAAACATCAAACATTTACCCAAAGGAACTAACTTTGAATAAATCTATTACTGACAACAATAATTGTCCTTTTCTAGATTTGGATATTTCAGTTTCACACGGGAAACTCTATACAAAAATTTACGGCAAAAGAGACGATTTTTTGTTCCCGATTGTTAATTTTCCCCTTTTGAACGGCGATGTTCCTTTGGCCCCTTCTTACAGTGTTTATATTTGACAACTTGTTCGGAATGCCCGTGTCTTTTTGATTTCAATGATCGTAATTTATGTATTACTGATAAATTATTAAGTCAGAGATTTCGTTACCGCAAATTAATTAAAAAAAATCATAGATACAAAGCTATTGTTCAGAATTTTGGTTGTTCCTGTAGACTTCTAATCAAAAACGGGAAATTACATTCTAATTTTACGGTGATGTTGTTTACAAAGGCCGTAAATTTAGATACGATCCATGTAAACTAATTGATCCTTTGAATAAATTTATTCTTTAACTAGATATATATTGCTATTTATTTACAGTCATGAGAAATCATTATCTTATACATCCTGTCATGATACTGTTTACTTATAGTTTGGCATTGCACAAGGCCATGCGTTTCTCGGACTATTTATGAGGTCTTTACACTAAATCAGTTGGATGTGTACTGATTGATACTTTAGTCTGGGAGAACTTGATTTATTTATTAGTTGTAATTGGCTTTTAACTAGCTGTCAGTAACTGCAAGTACTCTAATTTAGGTGTTTAATGTCTATTGTTTTTATGTTAGTTGTTTTGTGCCTTGTCTTTTGAGTTAAGCCAATTGCTTCTGATTTTTATAGTTTGTTCTTATGTTGTACTGTTACACCTCTGCCCAAAGTAAGGGGAGGGTTACATACTCACAAACATGTTTAACCCTGCCACATTCTTTATGTGCCTGTCCCAAGTAAGGAGCCTGTAGTTGGTTCATGTCCGTCATATTTGTTTTTCTTAAATTGTTTTGTTATAAATTAGGCTGTTAGTTTTCTCGTTTGAATTGTTTCACATTTTTCACGTAGGGGCCTATTTAGCATATATGGTATGGTTTTTTCTCATTGTTGAAGGCCTTACAGTTGCCCATAATTGCTTACATCCACTTCATTTGTACTCTGGCAGATAGTTGTCTCTCATTGGCAATCATACCACATCTCCTTATTTTCATATTATAGTATGGTAATGTTTGGCGGATAGGCGGCAAGAATGCTGGGAAAATTGGGTACCTAATTTGTGTTATCAACTCCTCCTACAGTCCTGAAACCTCAGAGGAAGATTGCACATGTGTTGAAGATGTGATCATGCTATTAAAGAATTGTTTGAGACATTTTTTTCTCATTTTTCCAGACAATTAAACTTAGTCATTTTAAGTCAAAATTTATGAAAGAGGGTACAAGTTTTGTGTAATCAACTCCTCCTACAGTTTTTAATCCAGATCCCTGAAACTTCACAGCTTCACAGGAAGATTGTACATATGTTGAAGTTTTGCACCTGTTAGTATGGAATTGATTGAGGATTTTTCCCCCTCATTTTTCATAACTTGAGATCTAAGTCATAATTCAGCAAAATTCCTGTAAAAAAATACGTATTTTGTGTAATCAGCTACTCCTACAGTTTTTAACCCTGAGTCCTGAAATTTCTTATGAAGATTGCATATATACTAATGTACATTGATTGATTGATTGATTGTTGGTTGCTTAACGTCCAGTGGCAAATATTTGTACATCCCGCACAGCCAAACGGACGCCCCACTTTAGCACGGGTTTTACTGCCGGTCGGAGGAAGACCAATGGTGACCATACTTCTATTCCCCAGTCACCCTTGGGGGGAATGTACATTGAAGTTGTGCACCTGCTATTAAGGAATTGTTTGAAGATTTTTTTCACACGTTAAACTTTCTACATTAGTTAGTCACACGGCCATTTGAGACTTTGACTCAATTCAAAATTTTTCACAGATACTCTGAAGTATTAATAATTCTATATAGCATTAAACTCATATTTCAAAGATTTGATCAAATTCTATTTTTATCTAAATCCTATAAATATCAGTTTGGTGTTGGGAGTCAAGGCATTAAAAAATCAGAACCACATCAGCCATTGTAATTTTCAAGTGTTTCTCCTCAGAGTTTTTTTTTCATTTTTAGTGTTTTGTGACTTTGAATTGCTGAATTACAAAATGTATCTGTATAAGTATTACTATTAAATTAACGTAAAAGAATATTTCTATTCCCCCACCAGAAAATACAACAGAATATTACATTACAGAGTGGCATATGTACCTGCTGGCACCCACCAGACATCAGTCAATGTACAAGTCATTATCAACATTGGCACATCAGACATTACAAGACCACACTTGTTCTATTATTAAAATAATTCTGTTTTGTAATTTTGTGAATATGCTGCTGAAAAGATTTTACTTATTCACTAACTTTTAATAATGGTTGAAATAAACTTTATTTTAAAACTTCAATACAAAATAATGTATAGAAAACAAAACAATATAAATCTCATACACAATGAAGCGATTGTCTTCACTCCTAGGGATGATTTATAAAATTCTCTTATAAAAAATCATAATATACATATTGTGATTTAGAAACTTCTACGAGGATTTCAAAATATACAAATAGAAAGGATTTATTATAAATATGCTTGTGTCTTTATTCAAAGTATGATAAACCATAAAGATGGATACATAAAAGGGAGACTTAAATGTAACACATAAAATGCAAAGAAAAAATGATTAAAATGTGTTTTATTTTCAAACAATCATAAAATGACAAAAGCCAGATTTATATAGTCCGTGCAAATTATTGTTTGTGATTTATGATTTTTCATTGTGTAACTATTGATATAACCTACATCAATGTTTTCTAAAAAATTAGTCATTACTGGAAAGATTTCCGAAATTAAAGCAAAAAAATTTCAGAGCAGTTGACAAATGTTTGTTTGTTAATTTGGTTACCATTCTACGTTATTTGACATCATTTCTGAAAAAGATAATTTTCATCATCAGATTTACTGCATTATTCAGTTCTAAAAATAAGGGCACCCAACACATGTCTAGAAAAACATTGATCGTACCTGATCAGCTTATTCTAGATGCAGGTCAAAGGTTGAGAAAGCAAAATATATAAAGTTTTTGGAAGCAATTTAAACCCAAATCATATAAAGTAAAATTTGCATAATAGTGTTCAATTATTGTTTTAGCACAATTACCAAATAAATAAATGGACAAGTTATAAAATAAAGAGTACCATTTTATCATGAAAATACATGTTATTCTTGTGGACTTTAGTCCATTAGCAGTGAAACCAATTTAAATTAAATTGAAAAGAAATAACAAGTGTCTCAGTCAACAAAAAAAACTTGCTACTGTAACTGACTGTAACAAGACCAGGAAAATTAAACATTTTATTGTATCTGAATGAATATATCAGAAATTAAATAAAGTATGAAAAACTTATTTCAAACCCCCCACCCCTCCTAACCTCAAATAAAATTCACTTTAGAAAATGTATATTGCCACAGAGAACAAACAGTTATGAACATAGATGACTTAAAATGATTGATTGGTTTGATATAGTCAGAAGAATCACATGTCTTTCTGAAGAATTGATATGTGACTAAAATATTCAAGAAATTAACTTCTTTTTCTATACACCTATTTCAGGAGTGATCAATTACACTGTTTAAATTTCTATTCATTGGCTTTTAATAGTTCCTCTTGAAATTTAACATTAAAAAAATATTCTAAATACCAAAACATGTTTGTAATTCAAGGGTTTTTCTTTAATCAAAATATCGTAATATTTTTTTCTACTTCAAAAAATTTAAAGAGAGAAAAATAAATCTTGCAAATGATCAATATATTAAAAAATAAAATATTCGTATCAAAAACACTAATTTTTTCAATATGTGTGCACTAGACAAATTAACATAGGCAAACGAAAAATCTATGCAGGATTAGAAAATTGCTGGGGATTTTATCACTAGACACTAGCATTGTACAATGATAACTCATTTGTAATTGTAATCTAACATTATTGTGTTAAATATAATATATTGAACATGAATATATTGTGGTCAAGTCTATTTGTTAAGTGTTATTTAACAGCATTTTACATGATTAAGACCTGTTGACCTGTGGTCACTCAAAAAATCATTTTCTGATTCTACACAGATGGTGGTTCTTGTTAGACATACCATGGAACTTATCTAATTTCTACAATTTCAAGGATTATCCATTCCAGATGTTTTTGACAAAATAGATATTTGTTGGAAACAGCCCTATCATTACCCCATAGTGGGTAAAAACTCTATAATGACCCTCTAAACAAGAGATCACTCGTGTTACAACACTGTTGAATACTTTTATTGTGAGGAAGACAACATCACAGCAGTATTAAATAGCTGAGGAAACTAATCCACTTGACAAATAATTAAGATTTTGTGCAAAAAATATAATAAATTGGTTTTTTCGAAAGTTAAATGAAAACACAATATTGCTATTTCTATTATTTTTAGAAATGTCTTCATGCACTTTACCAAAACTGCATGTCCAAGAAAGTAATCAATTATTTGTCCTTGCAAGCTTAAGTTTTGGAGCAAAATAAACCAGTATATCTATTATGTGCTTAGTAGTAAATACAAGTAAATTGTATGTGTAATATAGACAATTGCAATTGCCCTGTATCAGCCATCCATGATGATATCGATATCAGTCACAGTTGCAAAGGCTTCATAAAACTCCTTACATGTATTTCATCATGGAACGCTAAAAAAAGACTTCTTGAGGTATATAATAAAGTGTATAGGATATGGCTTTTTCAATATCACACACTGTATCAACCCTCAACCAATATCATCCCTTGAGCAGAGATCTTGGGATGATGTTGGTGTCTCACATTGATAAGAGTGTGATATATGATATTCATATGATAATTTTTATCTATTTGTCGGTATATAATAGTTCTATCCTGTATTTTAGGTAGATATCCAGGCTTGTAGATCCTTGTTGGATTGCTTTCCTACAGGCATGTGGAAACAACGTTCCTTTCCTTACCAGTTCTGGACATCAACAAAAAATGCAGTACTATAAACAACAGTACATTTCTATGTACAGAGATCTTTCCTTACAATGATTGTTTCATCATGAAAAATAATAAAATAAAAAGACAATACATGTAAAATATTGATTTACTGTTAAAGTTGTTAACTTAAATCTTTTGATTATGATCATTTCTGAAATATACATGTACATGTTTAGCTTAATTTCTTAATGTTAGTTTATGATGGTGAAGGTGTCATGTACTTTCTGTATCCACACCAATCCTTATAATAAAAATTAGAACATTGGGGTAGCTTTCTTTATCACAACCTATTTGAAGGAACATGTAACAGAGATAAAATTGAGTGTATGTTTTCTATTTTTGGCTTTAAACTCTAATAAACAAGAAATATTGAATTAATTAAACATGCAACTCTGTTTTATTGATATCACAAGAGTTATCTTTCTTACAACATCTGTATAAAAGGAGTCATCTCTTTATTGCATATAATGTTTTTCGATGTCGACACAACCTCCAGAATCCAGACAGTATTTTATTTATCCAACTTCAAATAAATAACTGTAAATTTAAACAATTAAAGCTTGTCTAGAATCTAACATAATTTACTACTGAGAGCAAGAAGAATGTCTTAACTTCTCACCATACAAAAATATCCTTCATATTAACAGAGGTATTCACTATAAAATAATACTATAAAATCTGTCCCTCATTCATCATTAATGGTTAATGAGGAAATTAAACACAAAGTTACTTATAAACCAAACCATTTTAATTTTCAAAGGGTTTTTGATCACAACTCTTAATCTCACTTTGTGTATTTGTATAAAAAATATCACATAATTATATATTTTAAGTAGAAAATATAAAAAAATATTTGGTTAAAACAATATTCAAAAATTCAGATTTAAAACAATACAACCAATCATTGGCACAATTAAATTTAGAATAATAATAAATATGTTATAAATATAGCAGTCTATGTACATTATAAACAAAAAGTAAAAAAGGATTTGTAGAGTTTTGTAAAAAGTTGAGTGATTCACTGATTCCTGAAGTTTACAAGAAAGAAAGGATAGTTCAGTTGTAAGAATACATCTTAATCTTCATTGTTAAGTAACTTGACTATGTGTAGGCACCAATACATGTGAAAAAGGATGAGACAGCCACCCAGCAATAAAATACAACCAATAAAACAGTTTCTAAGAATAGACAAGTGCCTAGTCCAATATACCACTAAATTGATGACATACTTCACATGTTTTAAATACTAAAAGTAGCACTATGAAGGGATAAAAAAAACAATAAATAAACTATACATTACATTTAAATATGGATAAACCAATATTTAATACAAAATTAGTAAAAGCTTTCTAAAGAAGGAAGATGAACTTCACAGAGATTATTCATAAATGAAATCATTCACACTTACAAAACAAAACTTTTAGATAATCTTTTTCACCAAAAAACTAAAACTAGGCTGGATCAATTGTACCATACATTGTCTTTAAAGCTCTCTCACATTCAAAACACATATGATATATATAATGGTAATATAACAAACTCAGTTTAATGGAATTCATCTTATTATTGGCAAATTATTCATTCCAGACTCTACAGACTATATCTTTTATAAAATATAACATTTAAGAATCACAGATTTGATGGCCATATTCACTCTTACATATAAATGGCAACCACTCAATATATTTAAAGAAACCATCTAAAATTCAGTATTCCTTATAAAATAAGTTTGAATTCAAACATTATGGGACTTAGATTCATTAAGGCCAAGATAATAGTTGTGTTTCTGATTACAAACTAGAAAATGGACAGGGACTTTCATTGTTTTTATATAAATATAAAAATAAATGCACAATACACATTTATGTGCACATGTTTCTAAATTAATCTTTATCTGGTAAGCATAAGGCCTAAAATTTGGGTGACAAAAATGATTAAACATTTGAAAATGGACAAAAATGGCTGAGCCTAATGTTTTGTTGGCCAAGTTCTGAACAGAAGTCCAGACATTTAATGCCAAAAAATTGCAATGTTCAGACAAAAATGGATCCAATTTTGAAAGGTCTTAAACAGAGCAGAATATTTATAAATCATTCATCAAAATATATCCCATAAAGAGTAAAATGAGGTTGGTTGGCAACAAGTATTATAACATTTCTTTTTGCCTGATATCCAGATTAATATAAATACATTCTTGACAACTGCAACATAACTTTGAATATCAGCTAATTAAAATAAATGAAGTGTTTGCATTAAAATCACTAACTGTTTTGTATTAGATAACTGCTAAAATCAACCAAAAAAGTTGCTTAAATTCCTATACAAACATTTCTTCTTTCAAATTCCAGCATTTTAAAAAATTCATGAGTAATCGAAAGGTATTTTTGTCCGAGATAACAAATAAAGCTCATTCAAAGCTAATATTCTGTTTCAAATGCACTTCTCAGTCCAGTTTGTCTCAATAGGGGTCAAATCATAAACTTTATATTGAGAATAATTATGAATCCTGTGCACATTTGGATTACCAAAGAAATCCTTCAAAAATTTAAATGTCACAGAAAATAAAAATTCAATTTGAATTGCCTAGATGTATGACCACTAACAATGGACATAATAAATTGCTGCCACAGTCCATATTATGCTACAATTGCAGTACCAGCAGATAAAGAGATCAAAATTCTTGGAACGGTTCTATTTCAGCGTCTGTAGCTGCTGGTACTGAATTAATGTCAGTTTCTGGATATTCATCAAAATTCTTCGTATCACCTGCATGAGATAACTTTGGAACAACTGGTGGCTGAAATAAAAAGAATGAAAGGTATAACAAATTGGAGAGATATTGTCTGACTTTACATGGACTTTTTGTATATATTTTAATCAGTTATTTTGGAGGGAAATAAGAAACTTTACACATTTAGTCAACTCATAATTACAAAACGATAAATTTTGTAATATAACACTAAATGGACTTCCAAGTAACTCATTCAAAACATAAGTAAGCTAAAACTGTACAACACAAATACCCCCGCCTGCAGCTTAAATCTGTAACTCATCATTTCTTACTAATCTTATGTCAGATCCTAATCTGAATGCATAACAAAAGACATTCCATACAAGTCAAACTCCATGTAATATTCCAATTCCAGGGGCGTTATTTTGATGAAAAGGCGGAAGTAGACACGGGTAACACTATATATATACATCTACCATTTCATGTATCTTATGTCCTGGTCTATTCTGTTTTTATTCTGATCCAAAAACAGCATTCCAATGTCCCCCGCCGACGTATATATTTTATCTGTCCAAGGGCAATAACCCAAATTTTTTTGTTTGTTCTTTCAAATTTTTTCATAAATGTCCTACAAGAAATGTAGGTGAGAAATGGCTACACAGTGTTACTTTCCATATAATTTCTATTTCCAAGGGGAATTACTCCTGTCAAAATAGTTGATAGGCTCCGATTATCTATCTCTTCCAAATTCATCCTTATTGAGATAAATCCTTGACAAAAATTTCATAAAAAAAGTGTGAGAGTGCTTACACTGCAATGTTCAATAAAAATTACATTTCAAAGGGACATAATTCCTGTAAAGTACTAATATAAATTTCATAACAAACCTTCAAGAAATGTAGGCTTGAGAGCGCTTACAATACAATTTCTATATAATTTATATTTCCAAGGGACATAATTCCTTCAAAAAATAAAGAAGAGGGTAAATTGCATATCTGGTTACTTTTTCATTAAACTGATACAAGAATATTTGTAGAATTGGATCTCTTTCAGGCAAAAATCTTGTCTGGCTGATAATTTTTGCTGGACAGATTTTTGTGTCTATGCCCTTATAGAATTTGGAATAAAAAGGTTTATTGTGATTCCTATTTTAACCATATTGACTCAATTGTTTTTAATTAATATAAATGTTTGAAGTTTTGTTTCATCTACTATAGGTTCCACAGTTCTAGTACTTTATAGACCGCCATAGCCTTTAGCAGTTCTCTGTTCTACACCACCTATGTCCATGGTGGCAACATTGAAATTGTATTCATATAATATGAAAACTACCAACAACATCCATATGGTTTCCTCAATAAAAAGTAACATATCACACAAGATCTACTGTTTATATACTGTAAACCAACTCATTTTTGCAAGTGATTTATTTTGAGCTTTGGAGATATAAAAATAAGAAGATGTGGTATGATTGCCAATGAGACAACTCTCCACAACAAACCAAATGACACAGAAATTAACAACTATAGGTCACCGTACGGCCTTCAACAATGAATAAAACCCATACTGCATAGTCAGCTATAAAAGGCCCCTGAATGAGTATATGTATAATGAAAATAATCATTGTCACTAGTATGACACACTTGCATCTGTATCTGTTCTTATATGAATATACCACGAAAGATAGAAAAACACAAATTCACAACAATATCAGCTTCAAAAGGCTAAAAACGAAAAAAAATCCATTTGTTTACAGTTCATTTTTTTGGATCTATCATATTTTTTATAAACAATCTTATTTCACTCACAGATAATTTCCTGGCTACCACATCATCCCACACAATATTCTTAAACCATTTATGTCTTTTACAATCTTCTGTACCATTCTATAAAAGAAAAATACATGTTCATGGTGTTTTTGTTACATAATGACTTTTATTATCTTTTTGTGACATTGTTCATCAGAACTAGACAAAAACATTTCCTAGAAGAACCTTTTGGAAATGTATTTAAATGAGTAACCAGTATGTTGTTCCTTGCCATACAAATATCCTGTCTGTAAGATGGCATTAGCTTAAACAATACACCAAAGTTGTTTTTTTATGACTGAGTTACATCGGTTGACCTGAGGTCAATCATTGTAAATGACTTCATTGAACAATTGGTTTTTACCGTGACCTAATAACATAACCATTGTCACAGAAGAAATGTATGGGAAAATGCGTGAAATTACTATTCTTAGGTCAAATACGTAAATTTTGACATTTATGAGGTCATAGTGACATCACAAGTTAACCTTCTGAACTAAAGGGTTCAAATTATATTGACCTGTTTATTTATCAATTAATAGAGCATAATTTTGAAAAGCTTAAATAAGTTTACTATTTTGGCGATTTCAGGGGCCAAAAACATGTAATGGTTCTTATCATATCTCTTCATTTAAAAAGAAATCTAATTAACTCAAACTATCCATAATTTCGTAAATTGGTCATAAAAAATAAAATCCTGACAATATGGACTTTGTACCTTAAAAACTGTAGGAAAAATTGATAACTTAACCTACAAGCCTTTAACAAGACAAATATAAAAAGAGAAACAAGACCAATACTGGTCTGGACCTGTGTCGCTGCAAGAAATGCAAAGAAAAGTTTGTAAAATTTCAAATTATTTGGCAAACAGGAAGTGGCAACATGGCAGATGTAAAAATTACTTAATACTGCCTACAACTCAACTTTATCAAGGTGCAGACAAAATATTACATCATTCTCTTTCTAAGAAGCCAAGAAAACTATGACGAAAATTTTCCTTGCACAATAACAAACAGGAGGTGGCTAAACGGCTGATGTAAAATTTGCTTATCGCTACAAATCAACAATCAAGCTCCAGATCAAATATTAAATCATTCCCTTCCACAGAAACAGAGAATACTTTGATGAAAGTTTTAGACAGACGGACAGAAAGAGTCAAGCAGTTAGTAGACCTGCTTCAGCCTTTGGCAACACAGGTAATAATGTTATCTCATAATACATTTTATTTTACAGAATTAGATATGCCCAAGAAGTTATTCCTTACATTATGAGTACTTGTATATACACATACCTTCATATTCCCCAGTCTCTTCGTTCTATCTTGTACTAATAACTTCTTTACAAGATCCCTGTCAATAGATTAATATATAAAATCAGTCTGTTCTTAAATATACATTCTACAACTAGTGAGAAGTTAAATCACAAAAATACTGAACTCAGAGGAAAATTCAAAACGGAAAGTCCCTAATCAAATGCCAAAATCAAAAGCACAAACACATCAAACGAATGGACAACAACTGTCATATTCCTGACTTGATACAGGCATTTTCGTATGTAGAAAATGGTGGATTCAACCTGGTTTTATAGCGCTAAACCTCTCACTTGTATGACAGTCGCATCAAATTCCATTATATTGACAACGAAAATCTCCATTGAAAACAAATTAATCTTAACATCAGGTTTCCTACTATAACTTACTTAGCTACAGGGTCTGAATGTCTCATCCCACTGGGACAAACCTGCTATAACTTACTTAGCTACAGGGTCTGAATGTCTCATCCCACTGGGACAAACCTGCTATAACTTACTTAGCTACAGGGTCTGAATGTCTCATCCCATTGGGACAAACCTGCTATAACTTACTTAGCTACAGGGTCTAAATGTCTCATCCCACTGGGACAAACCTGCTATAACTTACTTAGCTACAGGGTCTGAATGTCTCATCCCACTGGGACAAACCTGCTATAACTTACTTAGCTACCAAGCCTGAATGTCTCATTCCACTGGGACAAACCTGCTATAACTAACTTAGCTACAGGGTCTGAATGTCTCATCCCACTGGGACAAACCTGCTATAACTTACTTAGCTACCAAGTCTGAATGTCTCATTCCACTGGGACAAACCTGCTATAACTTACTTAGCTGCAGGGTCTGAATGTCTCATCCCACTGGGACAAACCTGCTATAACTTGCTTAGCTACAGGGTCTGAATGTCTCATCCCACTGGGACAAACCTGCTATAACTTACTTAGCTACAGGGTCTGAATGTCTCATCCCACTGGGACAAACCTGCTATAACTTACTTAGCTACCAAGTCTGAATGTCTCATCCCATTGGGACAAACCTGCTATAACTTACTTAGCTACCAAGTCTGAATGTCTCATTCCACTGGGACAAACCTGCTATAACTTACTTAGCTACCAAGTCTGAATGTCTCATCCCACTGGGACAAACCTGATATAACTTACTTAGCTACCAAGTCTGAATGTCTCATTCCACTGGGACAAACCTGCTATAACTTACTTAGCTACAGGGTCTTAATGTCTCATCCCACTGGGACAAACCTGCTATAACTTACTTAGCTACAGGGTCTGAATGTCTCATTCCACTGGGACAAACCTGCTATAACTTACTTAGCTACAGGGTCTGAATGTCTCATCCCACTGGGACAAACCTGCTATAACTTACTTAGCTACAGGGTCTGAATGTCTCATCCCACTGGGACAAACCTGCTATAACTTACTTAGCTACAGGGTCTGAATGTCTCATCCCATTGGGACAAACCTGCTATAACTTACTTAGCTACAGGGTCTAAATGTCTGGGCCATTCTATTTTTCCTTCCAAAATCTTCTCATAAATCTTGAAGGTATTTTCATCAAAGAATGGTGGATACCTGCGATGAAAAAAAAAGAAAGAAAAGAAATATAATTATTCTTATATCCTTGATAATTGTTAAATACAATGTATTTCTATGTCAATGTCCTACAAATTGATAATAACATACAAGTTTATAAACATATTGTCATGAAGCTTAATTCAAATCCTCCTTAGGCAATAAACTGAGAAAGGTAAACCTTCAAACTCATTCTATAGTTTTTATCTTTTAAAAATCTATGAAATAATAAACCTAGTTAGCCTTTAACAAATAGGCCAAATTCTGAAAGGTATAAAAGAGATGAGAGAAAACAAGCCTTTTGTTAGCCATTATAATGCTTTGATCTCATGAGGTATGTTATGGTTATACAATTATACAAACAAGACACAAATTTTCACTTAATCTGGTAACCAAAAAATTTCATTTTCATAACCTCTTCTCCAGATTTGACACCATGATAGATCAATTGATCATTATTACTACTGCACATTTTTGTTTGTTTTAATAAAAGCATAAATATGATGAAAATTTCACTTCTGTCATGCTGAACAAAAATAATGAAATGTTGGAACATGTAGCTTATGATCTTAGACATCTATGAAAATAATGTATCATAACTCTAAGGCAACTGGTCTCATAAGAAGCATGCACAGTGGTCTCATAAGTAGCATGCACAGTGGTCTCATAAGAAGCGTACACAGTGGTCTCATAAGAAGCATGCAGTGGTCTCATAAGTAGTATGAACAGTGCAGGTCTCATAAGAAGCATGAGCAGTGGACTCATAAGAAGCATGCACAGTGGTCTCATAAGAAGTGTGCACAGAGATCTCATAAGTAGCATGCACAGTGGTCTCATAAGTAGCATGCACAGTGTTCTCTTAAGAAGCATGCAGTGGTCTCATAAGCAAGCACAGTGGTCTCATAAGTAGCATGCAGTGTTCTCATAAGAAGCATGCACAGTGGTCTCATAAGTAGCATGCACAGTGGTCTCATAAGTAGCGTGAACAGTGGTCTCATAAGTAGCATACACAGTGGTCTCATAAGTAGCATGCACAGTGTTCTCATAAGAAGTGTACACAGTGGTCTCATAAGTAGCATACACAGTGGTCTTATTAGTAGCATGCGCAGTGGTCTCATAAGTAGCATGCACAGTGGTCTCATAAGAAGCATTCACAGTAGTCTCATAAGAGGCGTGCACAGTGGTCCCATAAGAAGCATGTACTTCTGTGTTGACATGAATTATCATTGATATGGTCATAATTATAAATTTACTGTATACAAAACTTTGAATTTTTGAAATACTAAGACTTTTCTACCTCAGGAATAGATTACCTTAGCTGTATTTGGCAAAACTTTTAGGAATTTTTGGTCCTCAATGCTCTTCAACTTCGTACTTTTTTTGGCCTTTTTAACTTATTTTGATTCGAGCGTCACTGTTGAGTCTTTTGTAGACGAAACAAAAATATTTCAAACATAAACTGTTGACACAGAGATATGTCTCGCCTGTTGGCAGAAAATGCAGAAAAAGACAATCTGATGGACAGCAACATTGCCTATCAATTCAAAGTTGCTGGACCATGACCTAGGGGGCAGGGCCTAGAAATAGTCATCAAACTGATATGTACTGATAGTAATGCAACTTTATAGAAAATATCAATGATCTATCACAAGTAGTTTCTATAAACTAACTTAAGCAGAAAACTTAACATTAGAATTGCTAATTAATTCAAAGTCGCTGGACCATGACCTAGGGGGCAGGGCCAGAAATTGTCGTTAAAACTGAGATGTACTGATAGTAATGCAACTTTATACAAAACATCATTGATCTATCACAAGTAGTTCTTATCAAACTGACTTAAGCCGAAAACTCAACAATTGTTGACACTGTCAGTGTCACCATCATCGTCAATGGAAAAGCAAAGCCTATGTCTCACCTTCAATGACTTTCGTCGCAGGCTAGACAAAAAAATAACTATTTGTCAATAAGACACCATTTTCTAATCACACTATCACATTACAATGTTTAGTGAGTTGTAAATTCTGGGTTAAAACCTTAAGTAACATTAAAGTTGCAATAATTAGCTTCAATTTTTGACAATATAAGTTGACTTTTTATAATTATTTTAATATTCATATTGAAGTCACATGCCCATTGGCAATCTTTGGCGTTAAACCATGTCATTGGTTTATAAGATTGCATCCAGTCACAAATAAGCACGAAATGTTGATACTTTATAACGATTTCATGCATTGTTTCTTGCTTCCTATGGAACTTTTTTTTATTCATATACATTTAAATATGTTGTTCAAATTTGAGAGCATTTGTCCATTCTGTTGGCATGAATTTGGCAGCCCATGCCCCTTTAAACCAAAATTTCTTGTTAAATTGGTCTGACGGACTACGGACAGACTAACATAGGAACTGAAGAATGCACAGAAAGTGATGGTCTGACGGATATTAGGATGGACTAGCGTAGGAACTGAAGAACGCACAGACTGGAAATGGAAAATATAATGAAAAAGAAAGGATAGGGTTAATAAATGAAGCATGATTAAGTAAGGGGCAATTCATACTTCTTGAAATGGACATTTTAATTTTGAAGTCACTACAGCATGACTGATAAAACAGGAGGTTTATAACCTACACAAAACTGAAATGTATTGATACATCTCATGAGTACTATACACATATAAATATATATACCAACCCTACAAGCATTTCATATATTAGTATTCCTAATGACCACCAGTCAACAGCCTTGTTATGTCCCCTTGACTGTATGATTTCAGGAGCAAGATATTCAGGTGTACCACATAATGTCCATGTTCTGTAAAATAAGATGAGATAATGTGGTTAATTGTCATCCAATGAATACAAACTTTGTAAGGATTTTGTTTGGTGGCAAGCAAATACATTGGTTTAATTACTTTCAATAGAACAAAGATAAAACCAAGAAATCATGTAATAAAACACAAACTATTCAAAAAATAATGGCACCAGCTAAAACATGCACAGATTTACATGTTTATATATCTCTTTAATTATCTGTAGATGCAGAATATGACATGAATCGTTTGATCTCAACCTACTTTGGGGACAAATCATGTCTATTGATTGGGTTTTTAATCTATGAATTTTTAAAGAGCTTAGATGTCCTTCTGTTTTATTGATAATGTTAAAAAAAAAAATGTGTTGAAATATGTTTGTTCGTTCTATAAATTACCTGTCTTGTGATTCATACAGTTAAAATCAAAATAATATTATCTATTTAAAAAAAAATTCTAATGTACAAAATTTAGAATAAATTAGTAGATAAAATATAGAATGTTTGGAATAGCACTAAATAGCCTTTCGTCTTCATTAAATCTTGTCAAAACACTTTTCTGTGAATATGCACTCTTTATCTAACAAACTTGTATTAAATGGGTTGTTAAAATTCCAAAGAACATTTCCGATCATCCCATAAGTATGGGGGATGTCAGGATAAAAAATGTTTTGTCAAGGGAAGAAAGCACCAGACTAAACTATCACTTAATCATTCCATTGTCCTCAATATGCCTTCAATATTTACCTCTCATGTAAACAACAATCAATCATAATTGTTCCATAAGACCGACTCAGCAGATTCATGAGATTGTTAGATGTTTTTATTTAGTCAATCAGATACACTATTTTACCTGCTGGTAGTAATTAGTGTTTGGCAAAGTCATTAAGTTATTTCTTACTTGCAGGTACAAAAGCTAAAGATAGTAAACAGACATTACTTAAACATTAATCAAGGCAAAGATGACATAACAATGACATTCTTCTTTCATCTCCATAGTATGTAAATAGCTAATCCTGATAGGGCAAATGTTTACCAGACTCTTCAACAATCCTCTCACAAATAGTGTGAGAAAGGATCCCCTTTCAAAGCTTATTGTCATTTCTTTAACACTTACGAATCCCAACACTTACAAGGCTTTCTGCAGTCATTTATTTCAATCTTATCATTATATACTGAATCATTATTGTTTCTAACTTGATGATCAGGAACTGTCCCCTTGATTTAAGGAAAGAATGTTAATTTATTTAATTTTATTTCAAAAGATTGTGCATTATAGAGGCTAGTTGGAGTGGAATTATGTTTGAATTCTAAGAAAATAGATAATTTCTTACGAGATTTCCATATTTTTCAGGTAATCTGTTCATTTTCTGGAGAAATTTACACACTAACTTCTCTAACAATAAATTTGCTACAAAGGAACTATCAAATTACTGCGAAAGTAACTCTTAGTTTACCTGGATTAGCTAATTTAAATTACCTGGATTAGCAGTTTACCTGGATTAACAGTTTACCTGGATTAACAGTTTACCTAGATTAACAGTTTTGGTGGATTTATCTTGACATGGTTGTTTCCAATAAAAACATGTTAAGCCTATGGAGAGACTTATCTTGACATGGTTGTTTTACAACATGTTAAGCCTATGGATAGACTTATCTTGACATGGTTGTTTCCAATAAAAAACATGTTTAGCCTATGGATAGACTTATCTTGACATGGTTGTTTCCAATAAAAAACATGTTTAGCCTATGGATAGACTTATCTTGACATGGTTGTTTCCAATAAAAAACATGTTTAGCCTATGGATAGACTTATCTTGACATGGTTGTTTCCAATAAAAAACATGTTTAGCCTATGGATAGACTTATCTTGACATGGTTGTTTCCAATAAAAAACATGTTAAGCCTATGGATAGACTTATCTTGACATGGTTGTTTCAAATAAAAACATATTAAGCCTATGGATAGACTTATCAGATATGGTTGTATCCAATAAAAACATATTAAGCCTATGGATAGACTTATCTTGACATGGTTGTTTCAAATAAAAACATGTTAAGCCTATGGATAGACTTATCTGACATGGTTGTTTAAAAACATGTTAAGCCTAAGGATAGACTTATCTGACGTGGTTGTTTTTAAATATGTTAGGTCTATGGATAGACTTATCTTGACATGGTTGTTTCCAATAAAAACATGATAAGCCTATGGATAGACTGATCTGACATGGTTGTTTTAAAACATGTTAAGTCTAAGAATAGACTTATCTTGACATGGTTGTTTCCAATAAAAACATGTTAAGCCTATGGATAGACTTATCTGAAATGGTTGTTTCCAATAAAAACATGTAAAGCCTATGGATAAACTTATCTGAAATAGTTGTTTCCAGTAAAAACATGTTAAGCCTATGGATAGACTTATCGGACATGGTTGTTTCCAATTAAAACATCTTTATCCTATGGATAGACTTATCAGACATGGTTGTTTGCAAAAAAAAAAACATGTTAAGCCTATGGATAGACTTATCTGACATGGTTTTTTCAATAAAAACTTGTTAAGCCTATGGATAGACTTATCGGACTTGGTTGTTTTAAAACATGTTAAGCCTATGGATAGACTTATCTGACATGGTTGTTTTAAAATATGTTAAGTCTATTGATAGACTTATCTTGACATGGTTGTTTCCAATAAAACATGATAAGCCTATGGATAGACTTATCGGACATGGTTGTTTTAAAATATGTTAAGTCTATGGATAGACTTATCTTGACATGGTTGTTTCCAATAAAACATATTAAGCCTATGGAGAGACTCATCTTGACATGGTTGTTTCCAATAAAAACATGCTTAGCCTATGGATAGACTCATCTTGACATGGTTGTTTCCAATAAAAACATGTTAATCCTATGGATAGACTTATCTTGACATGGTTGTTTCCAATAAAAAACATGTTAAGCCTATGGATAGACTTATCTGAAATGGTTGTTTCCAATAAAAAACATGCTTAGCCTATGGATAGACTTATCTTGACATGATTGATTCCAATGAAAACATGTTTAGCCTATGGATAGACTTATCTGACATGGTTGTTTCCAAATAAAACATGTTAAGCCTATGGATAGACTTATTGGACATGGTTGTTTTAAAATATGTTAAGTCTATGGATAGACTTATCTTGACATGGTTGTTTCCAATAAAACATGATAAGCCTATGGATAGACTTATCTGACATGGTTGTTTTAAAACATGTTAAGCCTATGGATAGACTTATCTTGACATGGTTGTTTTAAAACATGTTAAGCCTATGGATAGACTTATCTTGACATGGTTGTTTTAAAACATGTTAAGTCTATGGATAGACTTATCTTGACATGGTTGTTTCCAATAAAAACATGTTAAGCCTATGGATAGACTTATCTTGACATGGTTGTTTTAAAACATGTTAAGCCTATGGATAGACTTATCTTGACATGGTTGTTTCCAATAAAAACATGTTAAGCCTATGGATAGACTTATCTTGACATGGTTGATTCCAATAAAAACATGTTAAGCCTATGGATAGACTTATCTTGACATGGTTGTTTCCAATAAAAACATGTTAAGCCTATGGATAGACTTATCTTGACATGGTTGTTTTAAAACATGTTAAGCCCATGGATAGACTTATCTTGACATGGTTGTTTTAAAACATGTTAAGCCTATGGATAGACTTATGTTGACATGGTTGTTTTAAAACATGTTAAGCCCATGGATAGACTTATCTTGACATGGTTGTTTTAAAACATGTTAAGCCTATGGATAGACTTATCTTGACATGGTTGTTTTAACACATGTTAAGTCTATGGATAGGCTTATTTGACATGGTTGTTTCCAATAAAACATTTAAGCCTATGGATAGACTTATGTTGACATGGTTGTTTTAAAACATGTTAAGCCCATGGATAGACTTATCTTGACATGGTTGTTTTAAAACATGTTAAGCCTATGGATAGACTTATCTTGACATGGTTGTTTTAACACATGTTAAGTCTATGGATAGGCTTATTTGACATGGTTGTTTCCAATAAAACATTTAAGCCTATGGATAGACTTATCTTGACATGGTTGTTTTAAAACATGTTAAGCCCATGGATAGACTTATCTTGACATGGTTGTTTTAAAACATGTTAAGCCTATGGATAGACTTATCTTGACATGGTTGTTTTAACACATGTTAAGTCTATGGATAGGCTTATTTGACATGGTTGTTTCCAATAAAAACATGTTTAGCCTATGGATAGACTTTATCGGACATGGTTGTTTCCAATGGATAGACTTATCGGACATGGTTGTTTGCAATAAAACATGTTAAGCCTACTTGCTTAGTGGATATTTAAGATTGTTACAGGTTGTTTTCATCAAAATATTACTTTTTTTTTTTATAAAATTGAGTCTTCAATCAACCAAAGGGCAAAATTATTTACAAAATATTTTGATTATGGCACCTTGAATCGTTTGTAAAATCCTTAGATAGGTGTATTGATTTGACAGCATGGTAAATCTATTCTTTCCCTCTTTGTCTATGAAGATGAATAATAGAGTTGTTATTAAGTACATAAAGTCAGATTCTGAGTAATATCTAGCTATATATATAGTAATGGTATATATCTACTGTTACTTACATCAGGCACAGATTCTGAGTAATATCTGGTAATGGTATATATATGTCTACTGTTAGATACATCAGACAATTTATGTTGGCATTAGTACAACCTTAATACCTTCATTAATGTGTTGATTTTATAAGCTGTAGCCGGGTCAACAAGTACTGTATCCCTAATTAACTTATAGTTTCTCTATAAACACTATGTCTACTGGTTAACTTGACTTGTCACATATTATTAGGTTTATGGAAATGCAAGTTTCAATTTATTACTGTCAATCTTATAGAATTTTTTCCTGCAATTAGTGTGATGAGAAATGTGCATGTATGTGTGTGTGTTTGTGTGTGTGTGTGCATGAGG